GTATTCAACTCTTCACCAGGCATATATCTGATCCTCATCTTTTCTACAATTTTCATTAATTGGCGACTATTTGGGGGTGTGCCACCCTTGATGTACACATTTCTTAGAGATGGGCTTGCCTTTTTGGTAGTGTTCGTTTCCTTCAGTTTCTTCCACGGGTAGACAGGCTAAAGTGATTCGCTTGCACAGACTATTCGGTAATTTATCAATAATTATAAGAGATTCACTATTAAAGCATTGCCTTTTGTAACTGACATTTAGTCTCCATCATATCTCTTATTGTCATACTCTTGAGCAGCCAGGCGTGATGGCTGTTACGGTCATGTACGTGATATCAGTGTTGCTGTCAACATGTACTCATAGATCCCCAGTTACGTTCCTCTGTTGTATCAGATTACCGTGAGCCGTTCATTTTATCATCGATTCATTAGCTATAGCTAAGACGTACCTCGCTAGGGATCAAGGCTCTTCCTTAATGTCAGGGATAATGCTCGTTTTAGAACCTCGGAATTCCATTTAACGGCAGCCCCAACCTTGCTTTTTTCACTTCGGGAACGACAGAGGTCTGTCTTGCAGGCTTAAACGGGGTGACAGTAATTGGACCCGGCATTCGAGTCTTGAACAGTCAAGTCTGTGGATGTCTCGCCATTTCTGGATGAAGGCTTGAGGAGCATCTTGAGCCCCTGCGCGGCTAAGGGCAACTCTTAAAGTAATCAAATCGGGGGCGATACACTGTAACAGTAATACTTCACTATACTAAATGTTAAAGAATGAAATAGTTTACCTCCACTTGAGCCATAACACCAAGGATCAGATTATGGAAACTACTTTCTCGTGCAAACAATACAACGTGAATGATGCCTACGACGACATATAAAGCTGCACTCTCTATGAACATAGGAGAGAGAGTAGCATAAAGGGTCGTATGGCTTTTCCCGAGGACTTTGGCAACAGTATGGCGATGCCACAGAAGACGGCCACAAATCATCATGCTAACAAGAACGTTGAAGACGATTGACAGACACCAGTAGGGGATGCCTGTGGTGACGGCGGAGACCTTCCAGAACGGCATCCCAGGCATTGCGGCCTGGTATATAGACAATAGAGAGGGCTAGAGTCTCAGAGTAAAGCATATCGTGCATAGATGCAGAACGAACCGAAAGATAAGGCAGAGAGTGATGCAGGAAACACAATGGCACGACCATTACGGTCCCAGAGGACGACACATCTAAAGAGCTATTACAATGGGCAGTATTTTGGACGATTAGCGGCATCCCTGGATCAATCAAGAACTATAGTGCCAATCGGAAGTCCATTGGCCAAGAGATTGGCCGCAACGAACGCCACGTTCCCCCTTGTCTCCATACTGCTTCTCCTCATGCTCTTGGCAAGACCGTCAGTCTTGCACGACGCTGCATGTCCAAGCCATGCCGTCTCGCCGAATCCAATACCACTTGCAACACTAATCGTCCCGCATGCTAATAACAAAAGACTGTAAACAAGTGAGGGCCAGGCAACCTTTCCAGCGACGGGTTTGCAGAGGAGCAAGTAGACAATCGCGCTGAATATTGAGACGTGGGTGCCTAAAAGTGTCATCAATATCAATAATAATAATAGGAATAATCACCGATTCACTCGCCGTACGTAGATGATTGAAGATGCTGTCTCAGGTATAGCAGGGTATCAAAATCGCGTTCGAACAGACTCTCTGTTGCATTGATAACCACCATGATGCGAAAAGTCATCAACTATGTGTTGGAGGGGCTGCTCACCGCTGCTAACGATACACGTCTCTTATACCACACTGTCTTCTCTTGAGGGTAGACCCGAATGGAAGTGGCCCCGCCCCGTCCCCAGCATTGATTCCTTGTGTACAGGTCCGCGATAGCGATTAATATATAGCGATGTGACAGCCTGATTAAGGTGTTCAATAAATACAAAATACAAATAACATGAAGATTTTACCGAAGCTTTTATTCTCTATTTGGTATATTTGGTATATTCTCCATGTCATCTCTCAACATGTCACCGACATTATTGCCATCCAGGTGATGCCTTGACTACTCTATATATGCTAACAACAACAATAGGTGGTGTAATGTGGCCACGTAGTCCCTTTGCTATTTCAACTGCACGTATTCTTGTCTTTCTGAATGCGGTAATAGGGTTTCTGTTATGTTATTCAACATGAACCACTAAGCAACAGTCAAAATAAAAATAAAAAACTCGTAAATTTTTCAAATGAACAAAAAATAGTAGAAAATGCAAGTGTCCACACAGCATCCCACATTCAGGAATCGGATGAAACCCGAGTCATACAATATCGCAACATTTTGAGGATATCATCTTGTTCTCATTTGTATAACAAGTTGTCGGTGTACAAAGTGTGTAGCAGGGTCGACCGTGTACAAGTTCATTATGTTGTGATCAGAACGACGAATAACGCAAACTTGATGAGGAAATTGGTCCGTGAGCAAAGCACTGCTTTCATTCATGAACTTCTCAAGCGATTTTGGTGTTGTGATACTCTTGATCAGTCGGTCCCGAGAATTGTAAAAGTCTTGGATAGCCTCAGAGTCAAATGTCAAGCAGAGCTGTGCTGTCGGACCGGCGTTTTCATACCGTTCACGAATATCTTCAAGCTTTCGATTGGGGTATAGTTGTGCGCTGAAACAAGTTTTAACATGACACATGAAAGTTAAAATCCACCACTTACGCTTTTTCTAACTCATCCAAGCTCCACGGATTCATGATGATCAACTCGGGAAGTCTTCCTGACTGGTAGAGTTTGAACCAGCATAACAGTTTTGGAGAGGTTACATAAATCGGAAAAAGTTGTCTGGATTGAGAGCAGATAGAATGGGGAAGTGTTTGAGGGGCATCTAGCGAATCCACAAGGCACCATGTGTGTTTCCCACCGCTCTGGTGGAGCATGGGATCGATGATGTCCACACCCGACTCGGAAAAGAAATAGCATTTCTCGACTTGGTACCAGACAACAGGCTGCCTTTCTCCCAGACAATAGCGTATTGCGTAGTGAATCCAAGAAGTTTTTCCTAGACAATGATTAACAAAACCGCAAACTGGGTTATTTTATCGCACCAATGCCTGGTTGACCAGTAACCACTGCAAGTGAGGTGTTGTGGGACTTCTGATGTGCTGCCTTGACCGCATCAAGAACTCGAATATACTCAGCACGAACAAGCATCGGTAAGCCAACATCCTTTAGGAAAGGTTCACCTGGGAGGATGTCGTCATTTGATTCTTCCTCTTCGGATTCAGAATCCGTGGTATTATCCCGGTCTGGGAGGATTGTGAGTGCTGGATCTAAGGGAATTCCCCAGAATCGGCGATAGTAGTCTAGCATCATCGGTGGTATTTTTGAGTGAATCTGGTCGAGGTTCAGCATCACATCTTGGACCAGAATTTATCAGCTACTTACGTGCTCTATGAGTCCATCAGACATCACAGACCCCTCCACGTGCAGTCGCTTGGCCGGGAGTTCTCCTATAAGGAAAAGTTTGGGATTGTTCGATGATCACAAGACAGACAACCTACCCAGTAGGATATCGGAAAGTCCCGAATTGGATGAGTTGCTGGGGCTAATGCTCTCTGCGGATAGTTGCATAAGCTGTGAAGCTAGATAATAGAAGATATTGCTTACTAGCATGGACCATGACAAGAACATGAAGCTGGTGCCTCGCTGGTTGGGACAATCCGGATTCATCAACGGTAAACGTCGGGTTGAGTTCGTTGAGAGCAGATAGCTTTAACTGGGTGAAGATAGCATGGAAAATGTCTTTCGAATAAGTCGATATCATCTGCTTCGGTGTGTATAGCGTCAAGTCATCGGGGTTGATTCTTTTTCGCCACTTGGGCTTTGCACTCAAGATTGCCCCCCGGAGCTGTCCAATGGTCTCGTCTGGTGAGACTTAAACGGTAAAAATGTGTTGGAACGGCTCGTCGTCGCTGACATTGAGACAGTTAATAAGGACCATTGCTGTTTTTTGACACTGGAAGATTAGGGGCCACCGAGTACGTCAATATTTATAGCTGGAAGATTAGGGGCATGGAAAAGTGCCGCCACCCCTAGCAAGTCAATATTTATAAGCAAATTAGGCATTGTAGCCCCTAGGCTAATATGCCCCCTTGTTGCGTTGAGCCTCTTCCACCGCTAATTCTGCGAGAATGGGACGCTCCAGGTAAAAAAACCAATACAACAGGGATAACAAAATGTTACTTACTTTTCACTAATACTCGAGGCCGTGGGAGACCTCCTTCGTCATGGACGTCACTGCCCTTGCTTACCCACCAACACAGCGTCCTCACTTCTTTGCAGCAGTGCGGCATGGCTTCCATGGTCAGTATTGGGTAGGGTCAAATAGTATTAGGTGTGGTTTATATAAATGTCGCTGTATTTTACCTTTCTTACGCGCATAGCGCGCGGTAATGACAATTACACTTTTAATTTGTAAATCTAAACAATTTAAAGCCGCATGTATTCTAATGATAGTATTAAAATAAGGCTAATACATTACACTGCCTCCACCTGTAATACACAAGCTCACTGTATAGGGATCCATTCTGTTTATACTATTATATATAATATACAATATTATTCTCCCTGAGTTTTAAACCGAAAAAGTGTGTCATTGTGGCGGAGGAGGTGATTCTTTAACAGAGGTCCAAATGTTAAATAACAGGAAATAAGGGATTCTGAGTATAGGAATAGCTTTCCCCATATATATATATGGTGAATTCAAAGTATTATATCTTACTTCCTCCCCGTTATGGAGTTACATGGCAATTTATTTTTGGGACCAAAGCGGAATTTTTTTATTGATTTGCAAACTCCGCACTCCGCACTACGTACCCGGAACAGCTGTAATGGCTAGTTCCATAATGGTTAAAAATATTTCACGCGCTCGGAAACAGAGATATATACCTGGTTCAATAAGAACTGGTAGGAAGGAGCCCGCGATTTAACGGGATAAAAATATTGCCTCACGCAGGAGTCGAACCTGCAACCTTAAGACTCTTATCCGGTCAGAGGGACTGTAAAAGTCTGACGCTCTACCGATTGAGCTAACGAGGCAGGATTGATAATGCCTACATTCTAAAAAATACTGAACAAAGACACCACCGCTGTAAACGTTCTGCATTTGAATTTGCTATTTTTTCCCCCATTCAAAACTTATTTGTCATACTACGCCTTAATTTTGTTGTACTAGATAAATTCATAAGGCTAAGTCAACACAGAAATGGAGTGGTCATCGTGTGACTCGGCAGCCTCGTTCCCAATTTACAAAGACGGTCTTCTAGGGCGGCTGGTTCTCTGATGACGACAGTCTCACTTTCAGAAGAACGGCGGCTGTAATCCCGTCGTCAATTGGGATCACTGGCGGTCACACAAGTTGACAGGACCACGGTGTATTGTCCAGAGCAGAACAAGATACAGGCAAGTGCATCGTACGGTAAGATCTAAGGTCCTGAAAACTTCCCGGCTACTTATACCGTAAAACGCGGTGATTATGTAATCACGTAAAACTAAAGGGTCCGTGCGTAAGACTGGGGGCACCAGGATTACAGCGGCGGGCACATTTTACAACGAATATATCGTTGATGTTGAGGAAACGATGTTTGGCATCGAATCCCCAGCGGTTCGGAGGTATTTGGCAAACATATCCATTTCGGGGGCTAACCCATCTCCATCTTATATATATTTCAGGGCTCAGGTAAAATACGGAAATGAAGGCGTTCTAAGAACTTCTTTAACGATGCGCTCCATATAGAATGTGCGAGTTTCCTCATTTCGTCGAGTTTGTTTGTAATTGGCAGCATGGAGAACAGTCAACTGGGTCATAAATCCGTTGTTTGGCCTGGAGAGGTGTGTTTGATATAAAGTAGACGACGTATCGTGAATACTCTTACTGGGGTCGGGATTTGCGAATTAACGACAACGCAGATTCCACATCGCTATGTTGCGTGTACATTAAGTATGTCGCCACTATGACAGCGCTGCGACCTGTCAGTAATCATTCCGTGGTCGTGATGAGAGGTGACAAAGTCATGCCGGCCTATCCAGGAGATTAGCAGTGCTGACAATGTATTAGCACTCCCCTTCCTTTTTCAGTTTCGTCCATGTCATCTAATTGAACCTGATACCGTGTGAATGCCTTCAAGGCTGTCATTAGACTAGGAATTTTAGAATCTTTGTAGGGACTCACTTTCTGTGTGGTGAGTTTGCCACACATGGGGGATCGTTCTTATTTCAAAAGTCTTATGAGAGCTGACCAGTCTTTGCGGGAAGACATATCAGCATGTTATCAGGTCGTGCAACCACACGCTAACCGCTGGTACGTACGATGAGTGTTGATAAGTTCCCAAAGGTAAACCGTTTTATCAGGAACATACCAGGTTGTATCATCCTACTCTAATCTCTGGTATCCCTTATAAGCGATTCAGTTTGAAAGGGGATGAATATCATCTCTTGTCAACTAATATTAATGTACTTTATGCACTGACGTGTATATAAAAACCACTCATGCCAATGTTAATATATTATGACCAACCATTTATACGTAAGAACATGTCGGGTTTAAAACAGAAGAAGACTGCCCGCAGCTCAGTACTGGAATTGCTCCGACTTCTTCATGGTTGAAAGACAATTGCTTCGTTGGAGGCCTGGGCCAGGGCATCTACAACACAAATGACGGGAACAGGTTATCCAACCATGAAGAAAAGATCAATTCATTTTCAGGGCCACCTTGAAGCATATTGATCAATCATTTAGAAGAAAATTGAAGAATAAATGAACCCATTTATTTCGCTTTCAGTCAGGCCTGACATGGAATGTTCCGTATGAAATGCAAAGTCTGTGTATTCCAAATGATAGAATGAGACTCAGCATCTAAAAATGTATGTTTTAAACCTTCCACACAGTGTGCGTACAAATCGTACCGCAGCCCCGGCATTATTTATGGATGCGAATATGATATGAGATAATGAGTGTGGAAGACAAAATAGTGGCAGGCACTTGGCGAGTTGTCAATCCTAGCGGGTCGCAGAAAGTGAGGAAGGCGATACAATCTAGATCGGGCATTTCGAGTGACGCGGGAGAGTGTCTGCACGCTACGTGAGAGTCGTAGACTAGCTTTCGATGCTCTGATGCTTGTTTTCCGCGCAGCTGAGACTCGGCTGAAACCCTTGCTTGTAGGCAGCGAGCTGTTGGTTGATTCGCCGCTCAAAATAGCCATTTTGGCCTGCAATTCAACGAGATCATATTCTATATTGAGACTACTATTGCAAGCTACTTGGAGTTACCGCAAGAACTTTGTATCAGGGTTACCCTTAACTACAACTCCAGCTAACCTCCAAATTTACCCAGACAATAAGTCCACCCGCCCTCGAATTTGAGTGCCTCATACCCAGACTTGAACCGGCCAAAAGGGCCTGTTATTAACATTACACCGGTCATTTATAGCACCGTTTGGCGTTTATTCCCTTTTCCCTCAGATCCATAGACTTCGTAATGCGCTCCGGGTTAAATATTAGGTCGGATTCAGTGAATGAGCATTTTGCATGACATTTACGGTGGAAGATCCATTTGGTAAATTGTGTAAACAGGAGCATAACTGTGTAGCTTCACCGCCAAACCCGAATCCCGGCAGTCCGCAGGCGCGGGATTTTCTTTTAAATTTGAACACCGCCCTAGGAGGTACTCGGAACAGCTGTAAGGTTTGCCTACATAACAGCCATGAACGACCTAACTCTTTGCTGTCTCGTCGTCAACGACACCCACAAGCCCATGGGTGAGACCTTTGCGGTGAATATTTCCTAAACAGCGACATCGATGACCTCAAGAGAAAAATCCGTGACGAACGCAAGGCCTTACTCGGCAAGTGGGATACGGCTAATATCTCACTCTGGAAGCCCAGTGATGACTTCAAGCTGGCGACAAGCCCTTTGGCAAGCCTCAAGTCAGACCTCAAACAACTGCATCTAGACCGTGAGTCAGGCACGGAGGCAAACAACAAGGCGGTCTGGCTCAATGCCAGTTCGACAGTTGAGGACGAGTTCCGGGATCCAATGCCCAAGAAATGCATACATGTGCTTGTGCAGCTCCTGGCAAGCACAGGCAGAGCGGCACACAAGCGATATCGTGGTAAGTGATATGATGAGCTCTAATTATTGTTGCAGAGGAAGTGTCTGAAACTCTTAAACGCCTGAGAGCAAAGAAGGTGAAGACGACGCAACTTTCACCACCACTCCGCGACCTTTTTGCTATACTTGACCAGCCACTTAACGAGACGGAGAAGATCGCGATCTCTCACGATACCTATAGGGAACTGATCACACCCCTCCATGAACGCAACGAGACTTGCAAGGAAGAAGACGTGGCAATCCTATTCAAGAAGAGTGAATCTAAGTCCCCTCTATACAGCTGTCGTTGAGTCCCCTAGCGCTATTAGATTTTTTGGGTTTGCGAACAATGTAGCATGTGATTGATGGGTAACCGGGTATAGTATTACCGGTAGTAGGTACTTAAACTAGGTACTTGTACTCTACACTTCATACGTTTTCAACGCGTTCTTTGTACCCAAACCGAGTCAAGCGTATTTTGAACCCGCAAATTCTAACAAGCGCCACTGCACCGAGAAATTTTTCCATGGATTCTGGGTAAAAAACATCAAAAATATCATTGAGCTCAAAGGGCAAAAGATGAGCTCAATGACATTTTTGATGTTTTTATCCCAGAATCCACGGAAAAATTTCTCAGTGCCAGTGGCGCTAGGGGACTCAATGACAGCTGTAAGTACCAAACATACATATGCAGAACTATGAACTATCATTGAACCCAACGAAAGGGGTAACATATGCGAATATACGAATCCATCAGACGAAGAATTGCAGAATAAATTAGAAGACGTACTTATATAGCTTTTTCTACGAATTCAAGATGCGATATTATGAAATGGCATCAACGTTTGGGATATTTGAATACAAATGCCATTAGAAGTCTTGCAAGTAACCACGCGTGAGGAATAACAATTGACGGAAATATTGAACCTAGAGCGACTGTATTGCGTGTATTGAGGGTAAACAGCACAGAAGTCCATTTAAAAAGGGACGAACCAGGACGACCAGTATAATGCTAGAAACAGGCCTTTTTGACGTGTTATGCCAGTTCAAAATCCGGGTATGAGGCACTCAAAATTAAGGGAGGGTGGACTTACTGTCCGAGTAAATTTGGAGGTTAGCTGGAGTCGTGGTTGATGGTCACTTTAAAGAACCCCTGGTACAAAGTTCTTGTTGTAACTCGAAGTAGCTTGCAACAGTCGTCTCAATGTCCTCTGTATTCTATATAATGTATGTAGAGTCACGGGTAAAAAAAGATTCTTCGAAGGGGAATTTATGGAGTCGTCTCTTTACAATGTTGGAATTACATCGAAATCTACATCAAACTATTTCATCAGGACCTTATATATACAATCAACGCCAAAGACAGTTGTGAATAAGATTGACCCCCTGATAAGTACGCGAGACCACCAACTGGCATCGATCCATTGCAAATAACCATAATGGTTAGTTCCAGGCCAAATAAATAGAGCAAAGAGTAACACTTCGAAAGCGAAAGAACTCAATGTCTGATAAAATTCCCGACAATCATGCTTGGTATGCCCCAAGTATCTCTCCTGATTGTGAACGAGAAGCAACAATTAATCAAGCCTTGTTCCGGGGGAGCCACATTACTCCCACGCCTGCCATTTGAATAACTCCCACTGGGACCAGGACGTAATGAGACAGGAGAACTGTAAGCCGATGTTAGGCTACTTGTGTTCACGCTCCCAGCGTTGACGGCAAAACTGGGTTTGTACCGTAAGACGCAGGATGTCAGAACAGCCTTTTGGCCTGTGTCGAAAGCGACATGACCATATTTCTAGGAGAATATGATTACGAATGAGAAACGAAAATATAAAGCGAAGCTTACCTCCCAGTAATTCACGGCAGATTCCTCGGCCATGAGCTCATAAATACATAGTCGCCCCTTAAACGAGAATTAAAATCAAGTGACATTGTTAGATTCCAACCATA